CCTTTGATACAGAGTTTCCAGCTGACAAAGAAAACAACAACCGGCTGTATGACATGGTTCCCTTCGGTGATGACAGAGTGTGGGCAGGAGGAGCCAGTAATAAGATCAAGCTGTTTGATCTCCAGGGATATCTCCACGACACTGTCACCATCACGACTTATGGAGCATACCTGGCACTTCATGAAGGACACGTGGTGTACACCGATATAAATGACAAGACCGTGAAGAAGGTTTCAAACGGTAAAGTAAATACGTTGTTCAGTACCGGGGAGTGGTATCCCTACGGTATCACCTGTACCGCGGCACGTGACTTCCTGGTCTGTCTCCGGACAACAGATCAAACAGAGTCCAAGGTCGTAAGATACAGCAGTTCCGGTGACGTGCTGCAGGAAATCCAGTACGACTCCCAGTACCAGCCTCTGTTTAAGTGGGCAGCTTACGTGGTGGAGAATGGTAACGGCGACATCTGTGTAGCTGACTGGGATAAAAAGGCCGTCACAGTCGTTGACAAGTATGGAATATTCCGGTTCTCTTACACAGGTAACAAAGCATCCAAAGAGGAATTCAAACCTAGCTCCCTTACAACAGACAGCATGCATCACATCATCATCACGGACAACAACAACAAGATCCACACGCTGGACAGGGACGGTCGATTCCTGAGGTACATCATTCCTGATCAGGGGATACGGAGACCACGGGCCGTGTGTGTCGTTAAGGAGGGGGAGTTAATGGTGGGGGAGGAATTAACGGGAACGATCAAGAGAATAAAGTACTTACAATAAGGAGGGGGTTATATGACAATATGTATACTTCATGTGTGATACTAGTTCTATATTCAAATACTTGTATCTTAATTGAAAATAATTGCTTTTACAAACAGGTATCGACGTAGTAGTTATCTACTGATAATCTAATTCATATTACTGTTTTAAGATATTCTATTCTTCTGTATATTTTGATAAAATAATTGTGTTTTAACAGAACAAAGACAGTTTTCTCTGTATGCATAAACACATTTATATGAAAATTGAGTTAAACAGAAATAATATGATTTTTTAAACTCTATAAATAGAATAATAAAATTCAATAGAGTAACCTTTGTGTGCAATGCAATGATAGAGAATTAAGTAACCTTTGCAAATAAAAGTTTATTATAATTTGAAATTCATTATTCTCGTGTGTTCAAATTTTCTTTTGTGTGTTTGGGAATAAAAGAAAATCTTGAGATTTCCATTCTGATTGGTTGAAACGTCCAGAAAGGCAGTGTATGATTTTGTGACATTATGTACTAATTTCTTCATAGTTTAAATGTCGCCCGCGTGGCGAAATGGCAGGCATGTAGCAACAGAGAGAAAGGGGAGCAGGGCAGGGGGCCTACCCCCTTTTTTCCCCAACAATACTTTCACCTTTGGAAATTTTATTTGAAAGGCTGGTTGCCCCCCCCCCCCTGTATATACTACAGGTAATGGATAATATGGAAATGTAGCATAAAATGTAAAATAAAAAAAAAACTGGTATTTGAAGAAGTTGGCAGGTCTAAACCCGAGTAACTATAAGCCCTACATAGACCAAACTTTTATGGATGATGCATCTAATGATGGACACTACTTAACTTGCTTCAGATGCTAGATCTAACCTACATTTACCAGATGAGTGTTTTTGGAGCAGGTCTATTCCCAAGTAACTATAAGCCGTACCTGGATTAAACTTGCATGAAAGATGCATCTAGGAATGGACACTACCAGACTTGCTTTTGATATGGATCTGACCTACATTTTCCAGATGATTGACCAGGTTAAATTTTTTTGAGCAGGTCCATTCCCAGATAATTATAAGCCCTACCCAATCCAAACTTGCATGGATGATGCATCTAGGGATGGACACTACCAGACTTGCTTTGGATGCTTGATCTGGCCTAAATTTTCCAGATAAGTGACCTAGTTATTCCCAAGTAACTGTAAGCCCTACCTGGACCAAACTTGCATGGATAATGCATCTAAGTATATAGACACAGCCAGACTTGTTTCGGATGCTGGATCTGACCTACATTTTCCAGATGAGTGGCTCCCAAGAAACTATAAGCCCGACCTGGGCCAAACTTGCATGGATGATGCATTTGAAGATGGAAAATCGATACTTGCTTCAAATGCTGGATCTGACCTACATTTTCAAAATGAATGACCAAATTAAAGTTTTTGGAACAGGTCAATCTCCAATGAACATTAATTTCTATTAAAACAGAAATTGTAGGAATATTGATGTCAGGATAAATACTACTTTTAAAAAATGATGTGAGATTTGCATTACTTAAACTAATAACATTCGTCGAAGTGAGCTTTGAAATCTTTGATTACCTATGTTTTTTCTTTCTAAAGGTGAGGTGGAGTCACCTTTTCCCTGCATGTTTTTGTATTCTTAATATGTTTTTCAAATTTTAGCCGGGCTTTAAAAAATGCCCGGCTATTGCAATGAGCAACAGGAAATGCTGCTTCTTCACCGCCAAATTGAGTTTACGAGTAAAAATATAGTACGTACGCCCAGCCGCTGTTGAGAAAACAAAATCCATTCAAACACCTTAAGAAATAGCAAATCGAATATTTTTATCAAAATATTAAATTGTTTATATTTTTCCTGGCTCCTTTGACTAATATTTTACAAAGCAATTCAAAAGGTGCGAAAGGTTTTCACCAGGTATCCTTGTCTGCGTCATATTCTATAAATAAAGGTTGTACGTACTATCAGGCTAACACCAATGCAGGGAACATCATTAATGATTAAATGCAAAACTCCCCGCTGAGGACACATCAGTGCAGAGTCGTTTGACCTTAATTAATCTTGCTGCATCGGTGTTTATTTACTTCTGGTTGTATATAAAACCGGTTACCCCGAAACGATACATGTGATAATGTATACTGTTAATTTCTAGCTATATTTTATTTAATTTTTAAAACTTTTTAATACTTTACATGCCATTGAGATATTTTTGTGTGTAACATATCTTCTAAACGTCTGAACTTGATTTTAAACTGTCACTTCATTACCCTGTAAATGAGCCCGGCTTTCAGTACTTCTGAGTACTTTGATTTCATTCCTTATAATATGTCCTTATACATCTCCTGAATGAGCTTGACAAATGCACTACTTTTAGTGCGCGACACACCTTCTCCCCAAGAGGTATCAGCTGACAAAGTTTGATAATCATAGCCTTAATAATATTTAAGTTATGAGCCGGTCACGAGAAAAGATAACAGACGGACGGATAGACATACAGAATATGAAGCCTATAACATAATATGTCCTGTCTAAAGACGGGCGTATAAAAATTCCTCCTACCCAGTGGTGAGGATGAGGAACAATGATCGAGCTCAAACAATCTATAAATAATATGAATATGTAAAGAGGGCATAAAAACAGTCCGTTCGTTTGTCTGTCTGTCCATGCAGCTGTCTGTTTGTCTGCTCCGCAGAAAACTTTAACCTTACCCAAAACTTTTGACTGGGTAGGGCTTTGGCTTTCATATTTCACAAGTGTATTTCTTGTGACAAGACCTTTCTTTTGACTCCACTAAACTTGACCTTGACCTACGAGTTTTACACAAAAATTACAAACTTTTACTTTGGCCATAATCTTTGAACGGCTTTCCCACTTCATGTGTGTATTTTTTTCTGACAAAACCTTTCATTGGATATGAACAAGTTTGACCTTTTGACCTTGGAGTTTGACATACTTCTAAAAAAACTTAAACCTTGGCCATAAATTTTGAATGCCCAGAGCTTTCACACTTCATATATTTGATCCTTATGACAGGACCTTTCATTTGATACCAACAACTTTGACCTTGACCCTTGAGTTTGACTTACTTTTTAAAAAAACTTTAAGCTTGGCCTTTACTTTTGAACATTAGGGTTTAGACCTTCATACTTGATATATGAAATTCTTGTGACAAGACCTTCCTTTAAAAATCAACAACTTTAACATTGGATTTTTAACTACCTCAAAAAAAAACTTGTACCTTGGCCATAACTTTTGAACATAAGATGCTAGGACTTTAATTTTACAAATGTAATTCTTGTAAGAATCTGAATGACTTTTTAGGGGTACCAACATATTTGAATTGCATTTGAGAAAATTTGATTTTCGCTCTGTTGCCGTACAGGGGCATCAGTGTTTCACAAACGCATTTTGTTTTATTCTGAGACTGGATTCCAAATTAGATTAATTAATTTACCGGGTATTTATCTATGGAGAGAAGTACATGCACCGTATATAATAATGATATCTAATATAATAAAGAACATTCCAATCATACTTTGTACAAAAAGATAAGCTCAATATGAAAACTTTTCGTTTTCTGTGTTTGTAATATACTTAATTCTTATATAACTTGCAACACAAATTTTGATTGGTTAACATGCTGGGAGTTTATCTGTCACCCTCTGAGGTCGGGGTCAATCTTATCAATAGTTTGATACACCATCTATTGGTCCTGCTTTATGAATTAGTTTTGTTATATAGGAAATATATATCAATATTTTCACAACTGTACAGGTAATTAATCCCTTCTGCCTCTAGTGTATAAAATATTTATTAGGCCATTCCAAGTTTTTTCTATGTTTAGCGTCCGTGTTAGCCTTGGTTTTTGACACCCCATATCAGAAAAAAACAACATCAGGAGTCCTGAAATAGATTAATTTAGTTGATTTTTCTTATTTTGTCAATTTCTCCTAATAATTCTGTATAGTATATCATATTGGGTGTATTTTAAGCATTTACTGTCTTGATTTTGCTGAAGAATAGATATTTTTACTATTAAAGCAGTTAAGTGTGAACAAATCATTTGAATAGCGTCATTTTTTTTATGACTTTCAAACCTGGTGTTTTATGTTTTGGCTTGTGTGTTTTTTACAAATAGGTAGGTAGGTTTTTGAAAGATGGGTGGACACTAAACAAAGAAAAAAATTGGAATGGCCTACGATGAATAACTGATATTATCTAAAAAGGAAAACGTTAAGATTTGTAACAGTTGCATTTATTTATATAACATGAGATTGAAGATGAACAACAACAAAATAGCATAAAAATATATATACAAACTAGGATGAGAAGTTAAAAAAATATATTCAATAAAAAATGTCTTTGTATAAAATATGTTCATTAAACTAAATACTGGTCATAAACGTGGGACAAATGAGATTTAATTGTAATCGTCCAATTAAGTTCCACTGGTACAGGCTCTACATCCACAAACCTCGGGAACGGTGTACGATTTGGTTCGGGTAGATTTGTCAGAACACGTAAGAACGGCACTCCTTGTAACCGTTCGTATGGGCTGGCAACAATTACACTTATTTGTGAAGCCCTTCATTAATACGTTTGTATAAGTGGCCTGGGACTCACAATGGCCCGAGCACTGCATGAGATCGGCTACAGGTTGCTCATTTCTGCATGTCACAGTTCCTTCTGTCAGAGTGAAGTAGCCTATTGTCAATACTGGGTTTGTAAACTGTAGAGTTGGTTGACAGGTTGAACAGCTATTGCTGGAACCTACAAGGTTGGAACTCGTAGCTGAAAAAGAGCAATGAAATTCTGTACTATCAAGTTCTCCTAAATAAGATTATCTTACCTCTAAAATCTGTTGGTTTTGTCGATAACACAATGCTGTGCAAAAATAGTTATTCATTTTTCTTCATATTCAATGCATTTGCTGGCTCAAAGATATAGTGGTCATGGAATGCAAAAAATTCTAGAGTTACAGTACTTTTAACTTACGTGTTAGTACACATGTAGGACAGCAACCTGATTGGTCATACTCTGTTGTATTCTGAAAGAGAAAAAAATAATGATTTTACAACTCATGCTTTATTTTGACTTGCTTTTGCACTTACCAACTTGCATATTGATTATAAGATAAAGTAAAAAAAAACTCTGAAAAAGTTTGAATTTTGAATTGTACAGGAAGTAAACCTACCCCTTGGCATGCTGGGAGATTGTCTGTGTGACATTGTATTTGTGTCTCCTTTATGAGGAAGCCAGATGAACTTGCTGAACAAGTCTTTGTGTAGCATTTCATTGCGTTTGGTATTGCCTCTCCATCCTAGAGCAATAAAGAAATGACATGTACATTTTTGTGATTTATAGCTATTTAAAATCTGCAATCATACAGATTTGATGAGAGAAAATCAGTACTGTTTTAAATTGTCCTTACAGCTATCAAAGGTTAATTCCATAAGATTTTGTAACATCAATTTGTTTAAAAGAAAATTTCAGAACTTAAATCATTCACCTACATGTAACTTTTGACAAGCCAAGTGTACTTCTTGATTGAGGAGGGCAAGTATTTTTACAGCATATTTGAAATTTTTACAGTAAAAAGACATATGTTACATTCTGATTAAGATATATATTAGGAATCACTCATGACTTGTTCCTTAAAGTCAGCGGTACTTACGCTGTAAACATGTCCATCCACCACACACCCTGTCTCTTTACATGTACCACAGCAGCTGTTAGGGTCACTGTGGTCTAAAGTTGTACCCTGTGTACAAATAAATTAACACATATAATATCTTAAAACAACTAGATTGCATGGGGCTTTAAATAAACAGTCTTGAAAAAACAAAATATGACATAAAATCTCAACTGGTAAAAAATGAAAATTGCTATTTTACTCCAATTTAGCACTCACTCTCCATTATGTCCCTTTCACAATACTCTCAGATATATTAAAAAAAAGACATTTAAACTCTCAGTTACACACTATTGTCACAATTCCTTTCAATAAAGTATTCTCTGCAGTTATCTCCCATGTTTAATACTCACCAGGGGGCAGGCTTTACCTCTTTTCCAATGACAAAGCTTCCCCTCCTAAACACTCACTTTAAATTACCTCCCTTGTGCAGTATTCACCAGAGGACAAGCTCCACAAATCTCCCCACCCCCCCCCCCCCCCCCCCCAAAAAAAAAAAAAAACAACACACACACATAAACACATGGAATTCTCAAATTCAATTGTCTACCTTGATCACTACTAACCATAGGACAAACTTTTATCTCATTAAATGACAAATCTCTTACATTGAATTATCTCCCTTCTTAAGTACTCACCAGAGGGCAGGCTTTACATCTCTCTCGGTGACATACTGTCTCGACATTTCCTCCCAGTCTTTTCTCACATTCACAGGATTTACATACTCCGTCTGTCCAGGTTTCATTCACCTGATGTAGGCACAAAATTAAGTCAGTACATGTACACGACAAATTGGAACTACAGTTTCTTCTACTTCTTTTTCAAAAAAAATTCTATCTGCACTGGACAGTGTATATAGTCATTTAATTATATACATATAAAAATATCAAGCATTGTGATGAAAATAACATCTGATCAACTTTGCAATCTGTTTTTTTTTTTAATGTTTCCAAACTAATAAGTAGCATATACCTACATCTTACAATTCTTTTTTTCTTAAGCAAAATTATAGAAGATCTCAGCTAAAAGATTAATTTTCAGACTACAAGAAAATACCTTTGATCTGTCTTAAGCTTTACCTTGAAGGAAAGGCTTGAACCATTAGAGTGTTTGTACCAGCAGACTGCAGGTCCATAGTCTAACGGGACACGACTCACTGGAAACAAAACAAGTCACTGTCAGCCCATAATCGTAGTGAGTGAATAATATACATTAAAACAGAACTGGTACAATTACTTTTAATACTGGTCACATGTTTAACTGGTACAATTACTTTAAGTACTATAACCATGTGTAACTGTTGCAATTACATGTACTGTAAGCACTTACTACATGTAAATTTGTACACTTCCTATTGGATGTGTAACTTGTACAATTACTTTTAGTCCTGACTAACATCTCTGATTTTACAATTATTGTTAGTTCTAATCACATTTGTTACTAGTACAATTATATAATGCTTACTACATGTGTAATTAGTACAGTTACTGTAAGTACTTTCAAATGTGTCAATGTACATAAATACTGTAAGTACTTTTCACATTCGTAACTGGTGCAATTACTCTAAGTACTAACCAAATGTTTAACTGAGACAATTACTCTAAATACTTACCAAATATTTACAATTACTGTTAGTTTATACCACATGTGTAACTCAGGTACTTACCAAATATTTAATTGCTACAATTACTGTTAGAATTGAGCTGGTACAATTACTGTTAGTACTTAGCACATGGGTTACTGGTACAATCACTGTTTGCACTTACCACATGTGTAACTGGTACAATTACAAGTAGTATCTACAGGTACAGCAACTTTTCCCTAAAATTTGATTCAAAGGATTCTTTAAAGTTGTTAGTTAACTGTATTATTCTAAATTATGCAAGCTGTTATAAAAATTTATTTTATGATAGTTGATATTTAACATAATAATAGTATTTACCACTTGGCATGTTGGTTTAACTGCAGTTGGGCACACTGCTGGACATTCTATAAAGAGAAACATTGGTTTCATAAAGTATTAAATATTTCAGACTCAAATGCATGGTGCTGAAAATTTGAATTTCTTTCATTAATATGAGTAAATTACTTTACATTTTAAATTTTGAGGGTCTATTAAGAATCATTTGCCAAAAAATAAAGAAAGCACTTTCCTAAAATAACCTTTTAAACCAAACTGTCTTCGTGTTTCAAACTAGTTAAATCTCATAATTTCTAAAAGATTCAAAAAGGATTTTTAAAAAATATTTCCTTTAAATTTTAAGACCAACTTGTGTATGAAGAAAATATTGTAAGCTGTTGAAATAACTATCCCATTCCCACCTTAATAGCTCTCAATGGCATTCAAGGCATTTTATGTACATACCACACTGGAATGTTGGACAGCATTCCCCTGGGTTGATGTTTTTCATCAGCTGGGGAGGGGTACAAGTCAGAGGGTGGATAGTACAGGTTTCTGGCTTACAGACCAACTCATACTTATCACAGCAGCCGTCAGCGGTCTTCACGACACGGGCCACCTCCCCTGGCATCATGGGAGGTTTGACCAGAGCTTGGCAGTGGACAGAATCACAAGCTATGGACAAAATTATAATAGGCGTAAATCTGGTAGCTATAGACTAAAGCCATATTGCAAGCAACAGGCAACAATATGGTCTGACATACTATGTTTCTTTTCCCTTCATATGCACTAAATAAATATGCAAGCCATGTTTTTGTGGTTTCTTCAACATATAAGTATATAATTTTTTTCAGATTTAAAAAGACTTTACTTACAAGGTTGAGGGGCTGGTGTTGTGACAGGGGAAACAACTGAGGTATTGTTAGCTGAAAAAGGGGAAATCACTCATTCATAACAGAGGATATTACATTATGCTCATTTGTATGCGTTTTTAATACAGAGTAATTTTTTAAAGGGCTATTCCAGCAAAAGAATTCATTGGGGATGGAAACGAAAACCGCAGAGCATTTTTCTGGAAGTTAATGCAACAAATCCAATCTAAATTTCACTCTGTAACATAATGAAAGCAAAAATAAGTCTACTATCACATAATCATTTATTTACTATATATGACCCTCTCCTGGGCAATGACTTAAAAATTCAGTGAAGTGCTTATTCAGATCTCCAAATACTTTTTTTCTTATATCGTATGTGAAAATTTTAGTGAGACACAATTTTAGCGATTTCTACCTTAAATCTGGTATTTTATTTTTAGCGAGAAGTAATTAAAGCGATTTTAAAATGTTAACTAAGGAAGCTATTACAAACAATAACAATTTTTCTCGATATTCAATTTTAGCGTTATCAGCACCCTCGTTAATAATGCCAAAATTGAATCCTTGCTAAAAATTCTACTTATACAGTATTTCTCTAAAGCAAAATATATCTTTTGTTCTTGGTAAGATCATAGAATAAATCTTAATAAAATGTCAAGATTTTAACAATAACTCCAGATTTTAACATTCTTTTTACATATTTACTGCAAATCTTTTCTCTCTGATACGGGTACATTATTTGCTGGAACTGATTCAATGAAACTGTGAACTTTTCAAAATTATTCCTACTTCTTACGAAAGAAAACAAACAAAACCAGCCTTCATAAATTTATTAATATGCTACAAAAATTAACAACAATTTAATACCCTTTATAACCATTTACAAATCTTAATTGAGCCAGTTGACAGTCACTGATGCATAAAAATTTCCTGCATCACTAACCATACATAAAAAATCAGCTGCCTTCCAAGCCCTATGGTATTTTGCAGGAATAGCCCTTACTATACATCACATTACAAATCAAACAAAAAAAAACCATACAATTTATAACAAGTCCAGCACCTTACAGGTGAAAATTAATTTGATCAATAGATTTATGTCTAATAAATTTTTTGTGAAATGTTTTATGTACCACATGCGCAGAAGTATCTGATCTTGTAATCTCCGCAAGGAATGGGGAAATTGTCCGAGTCGTCACAAATGAGTCCCCTGTCAGGGGTACAGGTCAGGATCTCGCCCGAGGACTCAGCGGGGGCATCCATTGAGACTGAGTAACACTCAACCTTTGTTATGGAACCACTAGTACAGAAGTTATTGGTTTTGGAAAATTCGGCAGCAGATGGCTCATGATCGCCATGACTTCCTGGGTCCCCAGGGTGGTGTGAGTTCATCCAGCCTGACCAGCGAGAGTGACAAGCTGAAATAAATTTTATTTCAAAGTAAAGTATACATGTCTTCTTACATACCATTCTACTGTATCTTTGTTTGTAAAAGCCCCCCCCCCCTCTAAATGTGAATAACACACTGGAAAAAAAATTCTCAACTAAACAGTTTTGTATGGATTTTTAGAAAATAATATTTGGCTCAAAAAATGAACAAATACACAGACATAGACCTACGCAAGATACTAGTGTTTATATAATTTTTAGATATTGTAGAAGTCCCTTTTTTGCTTTTCTGTTCATGAATTAAAATCAAAGTACTGAAAGTACTCAGGGAGTTGAACATTGTTATCTGAAAAACAGGAAGTTATTTAAAGTTTGCATTAATTTCAAGTCATTAGAACTGAAGTTGATACAAAACGAAACATTAAAAATGATTTCTATTGTATTTAAATATTTTGCCTTTTTTAATAAAGATTTTCCGAAAAAAAAAAAGATTTTGACAGACCGGAAGCTACATGCCATCCATTGAAAAAACTGTTTATTATTGCGCACGAAAGTTAAGTTTATTCTGGATTAATTCTTTCTAAGTCAACAATTTGACCAAACCAAACAAACAACCCCCATCACCAAAAAAAAAAAAAAATAATAATTTTTTCAAACTCAAAAATACTATTTTGTTGTTAGGTTTTAAACTTCTTTCAGTACCATTTATTACTAAAACTCAAACACTACCCTTATATTTCTGAAATATTTGAATGTTACTCTCTTTAGAATGTTACAATATATAGCAACAAACAAACAAACATATATATGTTACCATCACCAGAAACTAATTGTAATTTTGAATTCTCTGATTAAAACAGTATTTGCTATTCTCTTTTGGGTATGAATGTTTCTTTCCGGACAAAAACAAATACCATGCTTATCTATTTTATCAAATGTATCTATCTTTATAACTTAATCATCAAGTTTTGTTATTCGATAATTTTAAATTTTATTTCAAGTAATATCTATATAGAAGTAAGTATGTCTGAATACTTTACATTTTGTTTGTTTTACGTTCGATAATTTTTCAATCATATTGAAATACTACCACTTGCCGATGGGCTTTATATGTAATCTACAAATTTTATCTACACGGCTCTGAAATTAATATTTTTGCAAGCACACACTGCGACATGGGATTTCGGTTTATTTAAAAGAGTTTTTTCACAGGATTCAAACCTGCGACGTAAGGATCAATTAACACCTTACTTAGCATAGTGTAGCAAACTATTTTAACAACTGCCAAAGTAAGAAAGTTTTGATTTTTTTATTCAAATGTATTTAAAAATCAACAGTTACAAGAAAAAAAAATGAGTTGTAATCATAGTTATATAATGATTATCACATTTGCATCTGCATGTATTTTTCTTCTTTATATTAAAATTGATACATTTTTAAGTAATAGCAATAAAGTCACACACATTTTTTTGATTTGGTGTTGTACAGCATCACTTCCGATAAATTCATGAATTAATGTTATTTGAAATTGTGTAACAATCCACTTACTTTAATGCTATTTTTTCAGATAACGTAAAAAATATTGTCTGACAAAAATTTTTGTTCAAAATCATTTTTTTCAGAGTAAATAAATATTTTCTGCAGTGTTTTTTTTAGTTTGTTACGGTATTGCTGAAACAAATTGTGAACGTTCCTTTCCTTACATCTTTGTTTAAATATATTGATTTGGTCAAACCAGTGTAAAAGTTATTGTCCTATGACTTTTTTTTACGTAGTATAACTTAAATATATAACTTTTTTTTTCAACGGAAATCAAAATATGTTAACCAGATGACAAAAATATTTCAAATTACAGTAAATAAAATATTTGGCTCCAAAAATGAACAAATACACAGACATAGACCTACGCAAGATACTAGTGTTTATATAATTTTTAGATATTGTAGAAGTCCCTTTTTTTGCTTTTCTGTTCATAAATAAAAAAAAAATGACTTAGCAATAAAAAAGGACTTCTTTTTGATTTAACTACTATCATTTTGGAATTGTTTATAATTACATGATTTAAATTATATAAATGTATATGTATCTAATCAACTAGCTTTGCCTAAGTACATATTAGAGATATTAGATTAATATATATTTCTATTCTTTTGCATAATAGTATTTCTGTTAAAAAGAAAATATAAAATTAAAGAATTAGTCTTTCATGAGAGCTGTTTTGTTCTCACTCATATCCTTACGACTAGAATTTAATTTCCACCACTTACTTTGAGGTTTGGTGTGAGTTTGATGGCCGTCATGGAATGGTGTTGACTGGTGGACTGGCACCACATGAGAGCCGGGAACTGGTGACAGTGTGGGGATAGAAGGGGGTGTGAAATGAGGTTGTACCACTGAAAATCAAAATGTAAAAAATAAATAAATAACAGTTCATGGAAATTTCTTTACATCAACTATTTTAAATTGTACAACATATTTTAATGCTTTAAATAAAGTCATTGTATGAATGACATACAGCATCCAACTTCATCGTTGTCGCAATCGATGACACCATCACACTTGGAGGATGCTGAAATGCACTGTCCATTTCCACATCTGAATTGGTTGGCATCACAAGACTTGCAAGAACAGCTACAGCTAGTCATGTTGACTACTTTTGTTTCACCCTGTACATGAAACATACACTTAATTCATACAGAGTGCAGTTTTCATTACAGTTTCAAAGAAGTCAGATACAATAAAAAGTTATAAGGAATTTGGTCTAAAAGAAACTTTTATGAATTGAGAAGAAAAATTTAAACTTCGCTCCTTATATATACAAATATTGATAAAGAATCTTGGATATTATAAGTAAGCAAAATTCAAAGTCCCTATGAATTCTCTTTTCTCCAAGATCTATTTAATTTCAAAATAAATAAAGAAAATAAAAAAATCAGTTTACTTATTCATCTTGGAAAAAAATTAGAGCATGATTCATATATGTTTTTGTAAATCAATGAACATTGAGGGTATAATTTTTTTTTATATCCAATGTAAATCAATGAAGTTTTCATTTATTTTTCAGAACTATACACTTACAGCAGAACAAGGTGGGCAACTCTTGGGAACACATCTTAGTTCACCACTGTAGATCTGACATGTTTCACACATGTCTGTTGTGACAATGTCCGATTTCTACAATGACAAAAACATATAAAATCAAAATAGCCTGAGTTTATTTTATTTTAAATAAAAAGGTCTTCACATTTTACTTTTAAGCTAAATCAACATCTATGTGGTTTCCCCCCATCTCCTCTCAAAAAATCTACTCCATTTCATTTAGAGGTCCATCTGAATACACATATCAAAGTTGTGTACCTACCATGATAATCTTGTTATTGTATTGACATGTACAGTCAGCTTTCTTCACACATCTCATTCCATCACAGTAGAGACCAGCAGAACAGTTCGGACATTGGGAGGTGTCTAGTCCCTCAAAGCATGGAACCACGTGAGGGTTCAAAACGGGTGCCACTGTTTTATGTAAGTTGTTGTTGGGCATCGGAACTGTACAGAGAAATAAAATGGCAATATATTTTGGCAACATTTCACAGTTTTAAGATATATGACAGTAATATTCTGAAATGACCTCCTAATCACTTATATTACAATAAATCAAGGATTATGATGAAGATACAAATGAATTCAAATTTTAGAACGTCACTGGTCTTTCCATTTTTTTTACAGGTTAGGAAAACACCCACGTTTTTGTCTGTAAGACAATTGCCTTTCTATAATAGTAACGTACCACACTCTCGAGTCTGCTTCAAACAACCCAGTCGGACCCTGTAGTCCAAACAGCCTGTGGGGTCAAACTGGTCCATGTTGTTGCAGGTCAGACCCTCCCACAGGTTACAGCTGACAATCTGTCCTGTCTGGTCATAGGCCACGCCCCCTACGGTCTGACACTGGATCTTGAGTGGATTCTGACAGTTGAGTGACAGCTCTTTCACCTTGTCAATTGGTTCTCTGTCACCTGTAGACCCAGGTGTGTTGTGACCCACATTAACCCAGGTATCGTACTGGACGCAAGATTCTCCTGCAAAAATAAATGAAATTTGCATGGATATCTTCTCCAAATTCTTTTTAAAACCCGTTCAAAATTATTTTCAGTTAAACAATTTTCCTTGGGATGGATAAAACTGTTAACTCTCATTAGTTCAATTTGATGAACAATGCAATAATTAATTAGAAATTATCTCATATTTCCTATTCATGAAAAATATGTTACGAAAATTGACGAATGTTATCATCATAAATCAAAATGATAAAAAATTATTTGGCTACAGTGTGTAAAACATTATGTCTGTAAGATATGATTAATAAATGATTAAAACAATTAGATGTACACTAGAAATAAGACTTACTAATGGTAGAAGTCACTCCAGGTTTCAGGGCTGGTGTCAGTGCAACAGTCGTAGGCTTTGGAGTGGGTGGTGGGGTGGTTGCTAAAAATTATCAGAAAAATTTATTAGATCTGCTAGTTCAAAAATTTTCTTTAAAAAATATATATTTATTTTTTAAAAAATAGACGTACTGGGATAGGTCACAGGACAGCCAATGACTTCGAATCTTAGTGCTATTTTTCCTTGCCATGTCTGTGGAAGGATTCTTAAGAATCGGGCGTGAAGTGGACTAGTGAAGTAATACGTCACTGGGGTGGAGGAATCAAAGTTTCCACTGAAAATCTTCAAAATAAAATAACAAAACTTGTAAAATTTGAACCTTGAAAGGACTTTTAAGAGCTCTTTCAATTTAAACGGCATTTAAGATTTTTTTTTTAATTTAAATTACATAAATGCAATTTCTTGATACTGTACAATTCTCTGTATCATATGACAGGAACAACAAATTATAATTTTTGAGGAAAACGTCATTAAGAAATACACTGTAGCAATAAGAATTTCTTTGCTTTTATCATAAATTTACAACATTGGTATTCACTTTAAAGAGAAAGGACATGGTAAGGCGTAAAATCAGGATTAATTCACAAATCTCTATACGTTCTCTGCTCCTGCTTCTTTGTATGTATCTCAGTTAATTCCGTCTGTAGAGAACTGGAATTTGTATGAAGTCACATAAGTTGGAGCGTCAGGGCGGCCCTGGGTGGTGACACCAGTTAAGTAAGCCTGCTGTAGGAAGTCAATCTGTAGGTACTCAGACTTTGTGTCAATAGCCGGCCTCCAGAATCCATTAGTGTTAAGTCGGGCCTTCTCTGGGCTGCTATAGGCATCACGGAAACTGGAGGTGGTGATCATTTCATTACGGATTTGTTTGCTCTCCATTCCCATGGAGGCTTTACAGACTGTAGGGATATTGGTAGGTGTATTCTTGGTGGTCTGGGATTGGTTGGGACTTAAGGTGGTTCTTACATTTTACCTTGTGTTTGTCAAGGAGTTGAAATGAATACTTGAATTACATATCACATTCAATTTGATGACGGTTAAGGTGATTTTTTTTTTTACAAAGCATAACAAATTTTATTTATACTTATAAAAAACAAAGTTTACATTTGATTTGAAATTGTGAGGCCTAGAAAAGAGTGTGCCCATGCTCATGGTTTTTAAATTTAATTTATTTTGTAGTGAACTTTTAAAACAGGAGTTGGAATTTTATACGAATTTTAGTATGGACAATATTTTTAAAAAATGGAATTATATAGGACATTGACAAGAGCAATTTCAGTAGATGCCACGGTGAAACACACTTCCTGGTACATAAGAACTTACATGATATTACAATTTACGACATTCACAGTGGTACCAATCTTGTAGTCAGAACACTGGCACGTCAACATCTCTCCTGATTTGTAGGATGCAGTAGTTCGGGGTGTCACCTTAAAAGGTAACACTCTAAATGTTGTCAACGTTTCCATCTTATAATTATTCAGGAGTGAAATTATCAATTGCAAGTACTGCACATTTTCTTAGATATTAGTTTTAGACCAAAAAATCTGTAAATTAAATGTTTGGCATATTTTACCTAAGTAGAGCAAGTAGTGATCCTTCACCCCACCCCACCCACATTCCTTTATAAATTGCATAATCAATACTGTAAATCACTTTTTATTCGCGAGAACTTTATTTTCCCGTGATTACGCGAGACGGTATGCTCGCGAAAATTTCATTCTCGCGTATATATAGAGCAATGACCACAATTCGTGAAAATTTTGTCTTGCTAATAAAGAGTCAATGACTATCTCGCGAAAATAAGGTGTCGCGAAAATTAAGTGATCTACAGTGATTGAACGTTTTACTGACGTTTTCTATAAAAATGTTTTATCACTAGAAATTACTAAATTAAAGAAACTTGACGAGTAAACACCTTACAATTAACAATGCCAAAAACTAGGTCATGTGCATTAGTCAATACCAGTTATTTATATCTCGAATCGAAGTAACCAAGAAGAAATTTTAAAGATTTAGAGAGTACAATACTTACCTGTATTATAAGGATTAGGTGGATTGGATCTTAAAATCACTTCAACTTATCATTTGTGATAATGGTGTTTGATACACTAAAGTCCATCTGTATATTTCGATACCAAATCTATAGTCCTTAGGACAAAAAAATCTGGTACTTCTCATTTTTTTTTTATAAAATGTTTCTTTTTTTGTCATCATATATGATATGCTGTGTGTTATATACATCACTTCACTGAGATAATGGTGTTTGATAAACTAAAGTCCAACTGTATATTTCAATACCAAATTTTTAGTCCTTATGACAGAAAATCTGGAACTTCACATTTTTAATAAACTGTTTCTTTTTTTGACATATATAATATGCTGTATGTGGTATGAATGAAAGTTTACTAGTTCATATAGAAATAAGTGTAAGTTAAATTTACACAAATGCTGTGATTAAAAAAATCGTGAAATAAGAACATTCAAAGGGAGTTAAATGTGAAATCTTTCGTCATATGTTTTATTAATCACACTCAAGAGGAGAAAAGAATTTTTTTTAAAAATCACGTTTAATATCTTCATTTTCATAATATCTATAAAGTTCACAAATTTGGTATTGGCTTGACAGTTTTATTTACAAATGAAAACTTCCTGTTTATGAAAGAAAAGTAGACAATTTTATAGATAAGCGTAACGAGGTTGACTGCGTTTTGTGTCATATTGCATTACTATGTATTGCACAATAAGTGTAGTGAGGGCCACTAAAGGGTATATTTTATATAATCTTCATGATTTTATTAATGCTGATAATTTTTAATAAGTAAACAACATCAACTTCTTGAGATTATTAATT